AACTAAAATAACCCAAGGGTTGAACTCAAGTGTTTGTGGGAATGAGGATCCCTTTTGAAAAATCTGTAGGCAAATGGATGTCTACAACCTCATCTTTTCTGATCAAAGCACCAGAGTCTGGGCTGTCCAGCAGTGCATCTAGCCAGTATCATGATGAATGTCATGTGCCTTTACCTTCTAAAGGTTGACCTCATTAAACAGCAGGTTTTGGCCTCTTTGTGGTCTCTAAAAGGGAGAACTTAACAGAGGGAAGGTGGTTAATGTATTGAAAATCTCACTCCCATCTTCACAAAAACACTGGATCAAAATAGGTTATCTACCCAAATTAAGGCGTGTCAACATTTCCCCCTAATTTGCTACAATCTCTCCTCTCTTCCAGGGAACCAGACTCTGAGCCTTGGTGAGGTTGGTTCCAAGAGATCTTGTACTCATTCCTAGCTGACCATTTGGACATCAACAGCATCAAAAAGGATGTGTCTGACCCTCTTACTCTAAAATGGCATCTTTGACATTTTTTGCTCACCACTGCACTAAAGCTTTATGGGGAGACTGAGTCACACAAGGTCTTGTGCTTGAGTGGAGTCAGCTGGGTGCCATGGGGAACACTCTCTAACTTCCCATCTCTGCTCTTCCAGCCTGTCAGCTTTGTGTTATAGATAAAGCACATGAGGGTGGACTGGATTCCAGTATCTTTGCTGCTGCTGCTGTGGCCCTTTGAGCTGTGGATGGGGCAGGTTGACACAGAACTTGAATAAGGGCAAGGGCGTACTGGTTGATGAACTGTTCAGGTGGTCCTTGGCAGAGTTAAACTTTGAAAATTACCTTGTCTTTTCATGTTTACTTTCACTTTCACCTTCTGATCCCCTTGCTCAGAAGGTGAAAGTGATCTTAAGCTAGCAGGTGTTAAGGAATTTGAGATGCACTCATTCTCTCCTTACCTAGTTTGAATGCTAGCAGCCTTATTGCTGATGTTAAACATTCAGTAGAAAACATGCAGATTCAAGGTTAGAGGGTGCCATTGTTTAAATAAGAATTAGCAAGTGGGTCTCATTGCAATTCAGATGAGTTGGTGGTGGTGACCTGAGGGTTTTGTTGAGAATTCTCCATGTGTGGAGGGATATAGCTCATTAGTGATGGCTGACAAGGTGTGGCACTCTGCCATTCCAGAACTCCAGTGGCCAACCCAGCTCCCGTATTGACTATCTGACACAAAGTGAGTCCTTGGTAGTCCTGTTGGCTTGTAGGAAAACAGGGAGAATGATAGAAATTGAGTTTCCTTCTGTTTTATTCGTAACCAAATAGTGTCAAAGACTTCACCTAAAAAATGACATTTTTCTTTTGATGGAGGTTACTGGAAGAAGACATATGTATGTATAAATATTGACTTGTTTATCCACACTCAATTATTGTGTATTTAAATGTTCTCTTGAACATGAGGTCAACAACCCATGTATTTCCCAATCTATAAGGACAATAAGCCCTATTTGACAAGAAACACTCAAAAAATTAACTTTTTTTGGATCTAGATGATTCAGTCTTTGTATATTTTCACACAATATATATCTATTCAGTAGTATTAGATGCTGTCATAGAGAGAGACTACAGAAACCAGGGAAATAAGAATTCTATAGTCCCTTGCACCTAATAAGATGGAGTATAAAATCTAGTAGGAAATACTTCCCAACAGCTTGAAACCTAGTTTGATACATTATTGACTTTAAAGGGTAGTGGTCAAGAGTTAGACACGTGTTCTAGCTCTGCTCTTTTCTGGATACTGGCTTTAGGTATGTTTCTTAAGTGTCAGTTTCCTTACCTGTAAATTCAGATTATTAGAGAACTCAAAGGGTAGTTCTCAGGAAGAGCTAAGTGAATGAACATAAAACATTTAGCAATGCCTAGTATGTAGTAAATATCTAATGAGTATTAATAAACAGCTATGACATAAATCATTAAAGAACAAAATCTGACTCTTTTCTTGTTTTTGGATAGGCTTTGAGTCCAAGAAAACCTCTTTTAGGTAAAACTTTGTGGGCATGATTTTTTTTCTGTGTGTGTGCGTGAGGAGGTTGGGGGTAGCTTTACTCAGATTCTCAAAAGGATCCCTGACTCTGAAAATGTTAAAATCCCATTAGTAGGATTACTTTGGGGACCAAAGAAATGCCAATATCTTCATTGACAAATGTCATCTTCCTGCCCTAAGAAAATTTATGTATCCTTATGAGTAAGTTTGGAGTTTTCTCACTTTATGAAATTTGAGCTATCTTTTACTTCACTGGTGGAAAAAAAAAAAAACTCAATGTAGAAATGTGCTGTGAAGATATTATAGAAAGGACCGCTAGGCAAATGAAGGCGTGAAAGGTAGATTTTAGATTAAGCAGAAGTTTGCTTCTCTCTTCTCCCACTGAAGGCCATTTCATATTTGTTTTATGTTGATAACTTTAGTGAAGATTCAGTGATGAAAAAAAAAATCCACTTGCTCCAAAGAGACATCTGAAACACTACTTTGGCTTCCCATTGTAACAGGTGGATTTGAACTCTATGCATATTTCTTGCCTTAGTGAGTTTCATTTTGCTCTATTCCAACTGCAAATGTCAAAGTGGGTGCTTATATTATCACGTGCTGGGCTGAAGCTGAAGTGCATTGGTTAGTAGTGCTCTTGGTATGACTGAGACTATTTATTGATGGGTTTGATAACATGAATACTGTGTATGATATCACACTTGGTATTGCAGCAAAAACTGAAACAGTCCTGCACTCTTTTTCTTAGAGGATGATGCTAATTTTCTACTCTGTGAGTATTGACCAAAAAAAGTGCAGAAAAACAAAGAAGGTAGCATTTGAGACTATGAATGGCCCCCATTGGAGTATTTTCTTCTACATGTGTGCTCTAACAATACTCAAAAGGAGGACTTCCTACAAATAATTATTTTCCCTTTGCCCGTTCAAACCTGTTGAGAAATTTCAAGGATTCCATTATGAAGAAAGTTTTAAGAAGCATAGAAATCACATTGCTTTTGAAAATGCTAATGCATGTGGTGTGCAGTGCCAGCTGAAGCAGCAGGTTTCAGATTGCTTTATCTCTTATCAGTGGTTTGGCTTTGTGAATGAGAAATTCAGAGGCAACTGTATAATTTTAAATTCCGATTACCACAAAGAAAGAGATGCATCTGACATCCCAATGCAGTACCTTTGACTATTTTAATGGAAATATATTGGAACTGGGGAAACCTTCCACCAAGCAGAAAGTGATGAAAGACCATCAGGCAGACATTTTATCTTTGAGATAAAAGGTCTATTTTCTAGGGTTGTTGCTTTTATTATAACTTTTCCCCTACCTGCTAGTGGTATCCCAATGCAAATGTATCATTCTAAGGACTTTTCATAATCCTCTTTGTGTCTAAAATTTCCTGGGGGCAGGGGGAACAAGGAGAACTGGTTTTGCTTACAACTTATTTAAATGAAATTTTGCACATTTCATAGAGCCTTAAAAAATGAGGATCGGGTGCTTAAATGGACCCACCTACTTCTTTGGTCCAAACATGGCACTACATTTTGCCCAAAATAAATAGAAACCAAGTACTTTCTTTCTTCTGCTCCCATTAAGGTGTTATTGGGATATGTAAAAATGATTGCATTTGTAAGAGTCTGAGAATCTGTCTTAAGTTGAGTGTTAGGTAAGTAGACAGTTTTAATAAAAAATCCCTTTTATGGTACTAATACTCATATTTATAGAGTTGTTCATAACTGATGCTGTTTTAATATTCTAAATTGTAAAGCCCAGGTTTGGCAGAAGGGATGAACGTGACTTCCTATACAGAAGCAGAGATGCTAGAGTTTAGAATGTGTCCTTTTTGCATTCTCTCTCCCTCAAAGACCTAGGATCTTGGAGCTGAACTCAACTGGTATTCAACTGGTCCCTCCAAAAAAATGGTTTCATGAAAATTATTTGACTTTTTTTTCTTCCTACATATTTTAAAGTGTTTCTTCCAGTCCTTGCAATTATGTATTTGTCCACCAGGGCTTAATGCTTGGTGTGGCTGCAGAAACAGTAAACAAACTGGATATGGTAGAGATCAAAAAGACATGATAAGTCAAAAATGGTCTCTGGAGGGCCATGGGAGAAACCTCTTTGCTGAATATGGAAGGTGAGGTAGAAACCCGTGACTACAGGGGGCAAAATAGTCTCTTTAGAAAAGGGACCCTAAGTTTAAATCATGGGATCCCCTGCTTCACTGGCCACACAAAGATACTAACTTGAGGAACCACCTATTGATTCAGGGTCCTTGGAAAATATTCTTATCATAGCTTTCATTCTCCACTAAGCTTCCCCTAACTTCATCTTCATTTTTCCCAGTAAGTATCTTGAGTGTGTTTCTCTGACAGGGGGATCACCTGTCCATGTAGCATAAGGAAGGCCTGCCTGCCTAAAAATACTTCACCATGTATATTTATTCCTAAGCCCATACAGAAAAGTAGGCTACTCTCTCTCTCTCTCTCTCTCTCAAAACCTCTAGGTCAGGGCTCAGCAAACGTTTCCTATAAAGGTCACATAGACTGATTTTATGCCTTACAGATCATGCAAGTCTCAAAGACAGTTACTCAGCTCTTCTGTTGTAGTGTGAAATTAATCATTGACAACCTGTAAGTGAATGCATTTACTTATTTACAAAACAGGTGGTGAGTCAGAATTGTTTCCCAGGTTATAGTTTGCTCATTCCTGCTCTAGAGTCAAACCTTAAGTAATCTTTGGTCAGTGGTTCCTGGACATGCAGTGAAAACTGCCCAAAGGGAAGATGACCTAAAGGAAGCTAAAAGCCAGTTTGAGCTTATGAAATCTGCCCTTGGAACAGAAGAGTTCTTAAGCCACCTGTCAGGATTCTACGAAGTAGATGCCACGGTGAGGGCTTTTGACAACCTTTGTCATACTTGAATAGTTTTCCAAGATGAAGCTTTTATGACATATTAAGCGGACACCAAATAGAACTAAGTGCTAAACATATTTGGAGATCAATTTTTAATTTACAAAACTCTTCAGAAAAACATTAACATACTAGAACTGCTAGTATATGGAAGATTCATTTATACTCTGTTATACCATGAGCTGCTTAATGTACCCAAGTGTGTGATTGTCTAGAAGACATTATATATAAAGATTAGAAAGACTCTGATTTTTCTTAAAATTAGAGGTTAGCACACTTTAAATTAAAAGCTAAATTTGTCTGGAATGCAGGTAAGTCTTCCTCTCATGACCGTGGGCCAATATTCTAGTTGGAGGGTACTGGGAGAAAAAATTGTACAATGAAGAATACGGAGTGTATTTCTTCTGATTTTTAAAGTCAGAACGGAAGTACATAATTCCATTCATACCAAATTTTCTGCTTATTATCATGAATATTGTGATCCTTTAGCATAAATGAAAAACAGAATTTTATATCATGTATGTCCTCCAAGGTGCTTTATTTTCTTGGTTGCTATTTTATTCTAGTTGTGATGATTTCCCTTATGATTAAATTTTGCAAGTGGGATCACATGAGTCTTTTTATTGGCATAAAATTCCAAGCTGCTGACTTTTTTGTAATCATTAGAACAAAATCTGGAACTTTCTGCTTGCTCTTCATCCATATGTGATGTTCTCAAGAGAGCAAAGCACAGAGAAGGTCCATCCTAAGGTAGTTAGCCTCAAAGGACCTCAGAGCTATTATTGTGTATCTGGAAGAAATGGGATTGATGCTCCCAGTAGCCTAGGAGGGTCTTTCTGGCTTGCAAAAACGTGTTCTATGTGTGAAACACACAGTCTCTGGCAGTGTGCCCCACAGGATATTAATGATACTAACCAGCATATCCTGATACCTTTTATGATGGATTTTCCTTTTTTAACCCTAGTGCTTTATGCTAAGCAACCTTATGGCTTTGCCCTAAGATTGGCCAACTTAATTCTTCTGCAAGGGACACTGAGTGAGAGTGATTGGAGCAAGCCTGGGATCTGGAAGCCTGCAGCAGCACTGTTGAGGCTAGGAGTCCTCCCCCTAGCTCCTCCTCCCGCCACTTGTAAGCAACCAAGCAACACAGCACTTCTTTTACATTTCATGTGTACAGCCTAATGGGTGAGGGCCATCTTAAAACGGCATTCACCTTCCCTGATAAGCCTTCCCCTGCTTGTGAAGTAAGGAAAACTCAAACTTTGTCAAGGGGAAAGACGCCATCCAGGACTACAAATGCTTCATTTAGGAATGTGGGGCCCCTCCTGCCAACTGGCATCCAGACTTGCCTGAGCCAGTTAGACCTCCATTCCGGACTCCATAGAATCCACATCTGTCAATGATTTGGTTTGTCTACCAGCTTTTCAGATGCCCAGTCATTGCTAAACCATTCCCCTCCAATCACTCAAAATAAACGACAAGTAACAAGATAAATAGGATGTGCTTCTCCTTGCTGAGTGCATTGACTTAAGGCATAGGCACATTTCCCCCTCTTTGAACAGAGATGGTATAATCCCCTGTCCCAGCACAAGAGCTGGCCAGGGTGACCCTGGAGCAAGATGATGAAGGTGAGCTGATGAGAGGTAGCTGATGGCGGGAATTGAGGCTGCTTCCACCTAGAGGGGAGCAGGTGCTACTGGCCCCAGAGACACAGTGATTGTGATAAGGACATTCGACTCAGTGTAGTTTAACTTCTAGTGAGCTACTCTGATAGCATGTAGTACTATGGATCTGTCAATCCTGGAGAAAAGAGAGAAGTGGATTTAGGAATAAGAATATAATAGCCCTGAAAAAATATTAAGTCCATCAAAGCCAGAGAGTTGGTGCATGCCTTTAGGAAGAAAAGCTTGCATCAAAGTTGTGTACCAATTAAAAATACAAGCATGTCTCTAAATTGCTTACCAATTCCAAGAAACATACAAAACTAATTAGGTTCCAATGCTACTCATAGACTTCTACTTCAGAACGGATTCTCTTGGGGTAGGGATTCCACACTAAGGGATTTTGATTGACTTCATCATTTTGGATTGGATGGAGTCTGCTGGATATAGTTAAAAGTGAGGACATAATAGCTTTCGAGTCATTTTTTCTTCAAACAGAGACACATCACCCATTTATTCTTTGCCTGTCAGACCACTGAATAGCCTCTAGCAACTGAGGAGCAGCTGTTATCCTATTTTGTGCTGATTTACAACTCCTATTTGGACTGTGAAAGACAATTTGAGCTTCAAGAAAGTAAGATAACAGAAGTTGGGTAAACAGTTCAAAATTTGCAGAAACCCATTCTCCTCATTCATCCAACTGAAAAAGGGCCCCAATACTTTTGGCTGCAAAGATGAGTGCAAAAAGGGAGCTGTTTGGAGTACTTGTTGCTAACTTCTGTGGTAATGCCTCATAATTAACTTCAGCGGGGGAGGGGAGTTGGATAGCCTTGCTGCAAAAGGCAAACAAATGTTGATTTTTTTTCAAACAGGGATCCCACTGCTGGAGCGTGACTTGGAGATTCCCGCCATTGCTGCCCAGTAATGACACTAAAGGAGAAGTTACGTTGTCACAGAAACATAGGGATGAATATCCTGTAAGTACACAACAGACTGTGTGATTCTGGATGGTTTGGGGAAGATTGGGCCTGAATTAGCATCCAGATGTTGTCATGGAGGTGATGAAGATGGGATGGAAAATGACTGTGGGTATCACAGGGTCACCCATGGTTCCTTTTGTACTGAAACCTCATTTTATACAGAGGATATATATATTTATTTATATATATATTTATATATTTATATTCACCCCTGCACGCAAACACACACATACACACACGCACACACGCGCTCACACACACAAAAGGTCTTTGATAGGCTTTCTGTGTTCTAGTAAAAATAGCTGGCAGCCAGAGTCTAAAGCCAAAAAGGGCCTTTATGCCGCCGACAGTGTCCACTATGGATAGTCTTTCAAAGGCAGACGCTTGTGTTTATCTGACAAGTGGAACCAGTCCCTGCCTGGGACAGGAATAATCTCCCGTTGGCGCAGACGCAGATCTCGAAGACCTTCTGCCTCGTTCCTGTAGGTGTGTAGGATCCATGAGGCAGTCTAGGTAGTTTGATTTTCGCGGCATCTAACTTAATCTAAAGAGAGTGAAGGAAGGCGAGAGTTAGTCAACAGCTATGGGTGACGGTTCAGTTCCAGTTAAAGCAGAGCACCTGTTCTATGTTGTATTTTCTTGGCACTGTGGATTTGGAGAGAAACTGGACAACTATAGGCTCTGCCTTCACAGATGCTTCTATGCTAGCAAGATAATGCTGCCTTGGCCTGTGTTACCAATCTGCAGACGTATGTTTGGAATGAAAACTGAGCCTTAGAGTCAAACAAATACTCAAGATGCTACACTGAACTCTTTATTATGGTACTTCTTGGCTATTGCCTACCTCTGTGTGCCAGGTGACAGTAACTAGTGAGTGTTTTCACTATTTTAAATGAAGAGTGAGTCCCTTTCCTCATTTTCTAACAATGTATAGGACATGGTAGAAGATGTCATTCAATTATGCTTACCACTGCTTCTTCCACAGTTTGATTTCTGATAGCTATGAACATATGTGAGGCAGTTACAGTTTTTATATGTGAGTGGTTTGTTCTTTGAAGAGGCAGTTGTGTAACTGAATGCTTTATCTGATGAACTTTCAAGACAGCATATTTTGAAGAAAGCAAGGGTGGGCACTGCGGTACCGTGGGTTAAGCTGCCACTTGGGATGCTCATGGGCCATCACGGAGTGCCTGGGATCATGTCCCACCTCCACCTCAGATGTAGCTTCCTGCTAGTGTGCCTGAGAGGCAGCAGATGAGCACCCATGTACATGGGAGACCCAGATGGAGTTCCTGGATTTGGCCTGGCCCAGCCATGGTTGTTGTGATCGTTTGAGAGTCACCCATTGCATGGACAATCTCTCTTTCTGTCTCTGTCAAACTGCCTTTTATATAAGTAAATAAAATGAATCTTTAAAGCATGTACCCAGGATGGATGTAGACAGGAAGATACCTGGTAAAAGGATATGAAAGACAGTTTTGCTTTAAAGTGATTTTCCCCTTGTTTTTATTTCTAAATAGAAAAGCGCACTAATGAACACTTTGATGATGTTTTCAAAAGTTTGCATTCAGATCATATTTTGAGGATAGATTTGGTTGACTTTACTTAAAAAAAAAAAAAACACAAGCAGCATTTCTGTTCACCCAACTGAGATTGTGTTGGGGTAGGAAAATGGTATCTGTAATTGTTCATTCTCTTCTTGCCCAAGTTGGAAGTTTACCTTGTTCAGGTTTGAGCTAGCTGCTGGATTTGGATCTTAAGGAAATGGAGACACACAGGAACCAACAAAATAACTAGAGTAAATTAAATGCTTAGCCAGATGTGTGTGATAGCCAGCTGAATAATGCTGGCTAACTAATTCTCATTTGGTTGACAAATCAGAGTTTGAAAATAGCATTCACTTTGTGGTCATATCAATCTGCACTTGCAATACAAGATGTTATTGCTACTCTTCAAATAATCAGCAATAATTTTAATGTATTGTGGTCTTGGCTGTAATCAAATTGTCCAATTACTTTTTTCTAGAAAATAAAGCCATCTTACTGGCTTTTTTCAAATTGACATCACGTAAGATTAATTTCAGGGGCAAATCAGCAATCAGAAAGGTTGGCCTGTTGGAGCCACATCTTTCTGGCTTGTGTCCTTCCCCCCCTTACCTCTCCATCTTTGGACTCCAGTCTCAGCTCTGTTCTGCAGGTAGCTTCCATATTGCCAGCTTCTGCATTGATCTCTACTCCTTTTGGGGCCTCCATCACTAGAGCTCGGGTTGGGGACTCCAATCTGAAATACACACAAGACAGAGATAAAAGGTCCCATTTTCATTTTGTGAAATTTAAGAAGAAGGTGAAATGGCCTGGGATTGAAACAGCATTTCAGCTCTTGATGAAGAAATTGTTTAAAGTTTTCCTTTACAAGTCTGTTCAAGTTTATTAGAAAACACAGGTAGGTTTTATTGTCAGGGTGGTTTCACAAAGGTTATAAGTTTGGTGTTCTAGGAGGAAGGTTTCATGTTATCTTCTGTGCAGTCATTGCTTCGGTACAATGAAGCAATCTTACATAAGTGTTTTGGTATAGCCTTACTTTAAGAAGAAAACAAGATTAAATTAAGCTTCTTGAATCTGACACGTGTTGCTTCCACTGCGGCCTACTCTGTCCTCCGTGGAGGAAGAGTCAGTTGAAGTTAACAAAATAGATCAAGCCATGAAGTGGTCCCTACGTGACCTTCCGTCTTCCCCTGCCTTTCCTCTCTTCCTTCCAGCTTTCCCTGTAAAATTGCTCAGAGTTCTAGTTTATTCACCTAAAAAGTATTTAAATGGTGACTGACACATTGGAAATATCATTCAACATGGTTATTACAGGTTAAGTGTTCCTTATCTAAAATGCTTAGGACCAGAAATGTTTTGGATTTTGGAATATTGGCATGAGAGTGATTTTATTGTTTTTAGTTTATTTACTTCATTTGCATGCATAAAGTGAATATCTGAATTAGGATAAAGTGCTAAAATCCAAAACATTTGCATCTTCATATTGGCACTCGGAGTCTGAGGCTCTGGGATGTTTCAGTTTGGGGACGCTCAACTTGACTGTGGGGACTATTGGTATTATATCAGCAAATCATAAAGAATTCTCAGGACTTACTCCAAAGTGCAGCTGCAGAAGGTTGCCTGGGGCTGGGGAGAGGAGCTGGTTTGGCTGCAAGGGGACAGGATGAGGAGCAACGTTTGGGGAGATGGAAATCCTCGGAACCCGGATTACAGTGGTGGCCACCTGTCTCTATGTATTTTTTGAAGACTTACTCATGAGTATTTGTATTGACTGCCAAGAAGGTGAACCAAGAGAAAGATTTAATGCATTCTAACTAATTTATATGGAAAAAAAATCAAAATAATATCGCTTCATAGGTTTTCTGCCAGACTCATTCAGTGAGAAAAACACTATCTAAAATTTAAGCAACCTCTGAATATTCTAGATTTAATACTATTACTGGATAGTAATCCCCAAGGGTCTCTTTATCTGTTGCAAAGAAAATGTCTCAACTTGGGAAGCAGGGAGCTCTGAAATCGCACTGAATCAGATGATTACTGCAATTTTATTTGTACGTTTCCAACTTGTGGACACCTCAACTTGATATAAAGGAACATCTTCCTCTTTGCCCACTGCTGACTGTTGCTTCTATGATGCACCCAGTGAGGGCTCCTCCACAATCCTCTCCCTGGGTTCTCTGTGATTTTTCCAGACAGCACCCTTTTCCACTGAGTTACTTTCCATCCTAATCTACAATGACTCAAAGAACCATAAGGAGAAACATCAGGCCTATATAATACTTACGAGAAGATTGGCTTGAGTTTCTTTTTTTTTTTTTTTAAAGATTTATTTATTTGACAGAGTTACAGACAGTGAGAGAGAGAGAGAGGTCTTCCTTCTGTTGGTTCACCCCCCAAATGGCCGCCATGGCCGGCACAGCGCCTATCCGAAGCCAGGAGCCAGGTGCTTCGTCCTGGTCTCCCATGGGGTACAGGGTCCAAGGACTTGGGCCATCCTCCACTGCACTCCTGGGCCACAGCAGAGAGCTGGCCTGGAAGAGGAGCAACCAGGACTAGAACCCGGCATGCATATGGGATGCTGGTGCTGGAGGTGGAGGATTAACACCACGGCGCTGGCCCTTGAGTTTCTATTGAACTCACATTTCCTTACTGAGGCAGGTGTGGCTTCACCTGTTGTTATTCACCTCCTTTGCATGTTTTTTTTTTTTTCCCCCTCATGATGATGCCAGTTCCCAGGGCAGCAGAATTTCACATTGGTGCAGCACAGCTTGGCCTAGGACCTTAATCCCACATAGTGGATCTCATGTACTCTTGTACTCTCATTTTTGAAATATGAGGATTGTGTTATTGTACTTCTCTGTTTCTCTCATGGGTAGACTGGCTGACTTACACAGTGTATCCTCAATTCTCTGGCTTTGTTTATTTCCACTAAGTTCACTCCCATTCTTCTTGTACCATGCTTGTCCACTCTTTGAATACCACCTGCTCAATACCTCATCAGTGGCACCGCCACGCTCCACCTCCCCAGGGAGTCCCTGTGTCATCCTCCCTTTTTTTATCAGTTAACTCAGCTTTTGATCTCACAGCTTCTCCCTTCTCAGTCTACTAGGTCAGCTACAACCTGGAGTCTTGTAACCACCTCACATGCTCTGCCTCTGATTTTTCCCTTTGCCCAATGTACTTCTATCAAAAATTTATCTTCTTGCCGGCGCCGTGGCTCACTAGGCTAATCCTCCGCCTTGCGGCACCGGCACACTGGGTTCTAGTCCCGGTCAGGGCGCCGGATTCTGTCCGGGTTGCCCCTCTTCCAGGCCAGCTCTCTGCTGTGGCCAGGGAGTGCAATGGAGGATGGCCCAAGTGCTTGGGCCCTGCACCCCAGGGGAGACCAGGAGAAGCACCTGGCTCCTGCCATCAGATCAGCATGGTGTGCTGGCCGCAGTGTGCCGGCCGCGGCGGCCATTGGAGGGTGAACCAGTGGCAAAGGAAGACCTTTCTCTGTCTCTCTCACTGTCCACTCTGCCTGTCAAAAAATAAAAATAAATAATAAATAAATAAAATATATATAAAAAAAGAAAAAAAATTATCTTCTTGAGTACTTCTGCTGAAGCAAGCACCTTTCTGGCCAAAACCTTCACAACTTCTTTAAAAAAAGATCTGAACTATTGAGCTTGTTCAGCCACGCAGACGTTGCTCTGACTTCATCTTGCTAGTCAGGTTTCTTATTGAAAACATTGCCTATGCCTTTAGAGAGGGCTTACTAGGCGAGGATACTATGTAAAGGGTTTTATCTGTTATTTAACGTTCACAAAAGGATGAAGCTAATGTTAAATCACTTGCTCAGGGTTATACATCAAGTACAATAGCAGAGTCAATATGTGGACCCAATTGAGGGGTCACCAAAGTCACTTTGTTTACCATGAGAAAACCTTATTCTGTCCATCTTATCTTACTCCTTCTCAGCAATAATATGACGACTCTTTCTTAATGGAATTCTTTTTCTAGAAGCAGACTATGTATAAAAGTTTAGAGAGATAGTACATATGGCTGAGTGATACAGACTTCATAGTACATGCTATTTCTCATAGCACATTTAGCAGCCTACATTAGTGCTATCTGATGCAGCATATGTTGAATGTATTGTTACCTGGTATGTCAAAAAGATACTTTAATGGAACACAAAGAACCCACAGTAGAAAAAGGGTGGAACTTGGAAAACTTGTGGATACAGAGTTGGTGTTTCAGACAGACATTAGCATTCGCCCTTTTCTTACCCACCGCCTATGGCCCTTGCCATCACCAGGAGGACTCTGAGACCAGGGGAGCAGACCGAGAAATGAGTGATCCCTTTCCTTGGGCTCTGGGACTTGCAAGTAGCAGGGTGCTCAGGAGGAGAACCACCCTGAAACTGTTCTAGGGTGAAATGCTACAGCAAGCTGCAAAGGACCATGTCCTGAAAGGAGAAGCGGAAAGGCCTTTTTGTTTCACAGCCTGTCTTAATATCCTTTGATGTTCAGGCAGACTTCATGTAGTTTGTCCACATGCTAACGTTGCCACGGAGAAAATACTCCTCCAGGAGTCCTATGGGAACTGTAGAGATCAGACAGAACACGCCTGAAGTGGTGTCGGTTTCTGACGACAGATGAAAGCCCACAAGAAAATTATTGAGAGAGCATGGGGCAAGGTAAACCCGAGGGCAGTCGACAGAACTGCAGGCTATTGGAAATTAGCTGCGATTGCGTTCAGAGAGTGGGTAACCCTCCCAGAGGGAGAGCATACAGAGGTTCCCAGAAGAGATGCAGAGAGGAAGAATGGCCAGGAAGGGAGGTGCAGGGCTGGGCCAGGCCCTCTGAAATGTGAGCATCGGAATCACCTGGAGGGTTGTAGACTACCTGGGCCCTAGCCCCAGAGTTTCCAGTGTAGCTTTTTTACTCAAAAAGCTGCATGTAGAGCAAATTTCCCAGTGATGCTGACACGGCTGGCTCAGGACTACACTTTGAGAAGTACCGCATTCGCACCCGGGTCACAGGCTCAGGGGCTTCCAAAAACTCTTAGGTGATGTCAGTGAGTGACCCAAAAGGCAGCTGTGAGTAGAACAGAAGTAGCAGCACAGTAATAGCAGGGATCTTCCAGAAGTCCTCTTGGAGGCTCCTTGCTATCTGCCGAGTGACGCTGGCCTGACTGTGAGTGAAGAAAACCCAGAGCACAGGAGGCAGCTGCTGCTTGCCAGGCCTTCTAATTTAGGAAAACTAATATCATTTGGAATCATTACATTTTAGTAGTAGATGTGAAAGAATACAGTTACCCTCCCTATCTGAGGGCTGGCTCTCTTTTGAGCCTTTCTAGTCTTTTCTTATTCTGTTTGTCCATTGTTGCAAAAGTAGTTTATTTAAATTATTCACATTGTTAAATTTGTTTTTTTATAAGTGCCTTTATTCTATTTTAGAAATCTATTAATTATTGTTAGTATTTCACATATATTTTGGAATGAACTTACATTTCACAAAGAAACCCCATTGGAATTTTGATTACATTTATGTATTTCAATAATTGGACGATTTAAACTTTTTTTTTCTCAAGTTTTTTATTTATCTATTTATTTTTAAAAGTCAGATTTACAGAGAGAAAGAGAGATCATCCATCTGTTGGTTCATTCCCCAGATGGCTTCCGCAGCCAGCACGAGGCCAGGTTGAAGCCAGGAGCTTTGTCCGTGTCTCCCATGTGGAGGCTGGGTCCCA